TAGTGTGTGTGTGTGTGTGTGTGTGTGTGTGTGTGTGTGTGTGTGTGTGTTGCTCCGGAGTAAAATATTACTCCGGAGTAAAGATCGCTCCGTTTCGGAGTAAGAAAATACTCCGTTGCGGGGTAAAGTATTACTCCGAAGTAAGTGTATTTGTAGCATATGGTGCATATTTGTCAGACTCTGCATACATAAACATAATACGTACATACACTTACTCAGGAAACTTCATACATAACACATCACATTTGTATGGATATTGATATTGTGTATAATGACTTGGAAAGTATCGTGGTATATTTCATGTGCACATAAACCTCGCCTCATTTCTCCCTTGCCCAAGAAAGAGAAAGGAAGCATGTCTTTCGTCTGCGAAATCTGCGACAAAGAGTTTGCTCGTCAGTTTAACCTTGATCGTCACCAGGAAAGAAAACACCGAGACGAGTCGGCTGTTGCCTCGGGGGAAGTCGTCGTAGATTCCGAGACAGGATCTTACCGAAAGCGCGATGTTTTTGACGACAACTCCGACATATCGTATGAACATGACACTGACGCGCTTGATTCATCAAGCGATGAGGAAGACGAAGAAGACGAGGAACCGACCGTGTCACAAGATGAAGTAACCGTCTCAGACGAAGATGAATCTGTAGTGGACTCTGAGGAGGCAGAGTCAGTGACAGAAACCGACAGCGATGAAAGTGATTCAGAGAGTGATGCAGACTCGGACGTTTCTTCCAACACGGCTTCTTATGATGAAAGTGAAGAGTACGGCTACGACAGCGGTGACGAGGAAGAGTGGACGCTCTATCGAGACTGGTCCATTCCACTCAAGCACGAACCAGGCGATGTCCCTCAACGCGTGATCAAAGAGACAAAACGCGCTGGCAAAAAGTTTTATCTTGTAGAGTTTGCTGCCATGCCTCGTTACGGTTACAATATCGAGTACAGCAAGAACTGGGTCCCAGAGCAGAAATTGATGACAAAATACGGCTACCTCGTTCTGAAATAATACAGCATCGTCCTTCTGCCGATAGGACAACTAGTCCTAATGTAACAGCGATACCTACATGACAAGACGTAAGCTGTCTTGCGAGTTTTTCGGAACAATCTTGACCTGTAAGTGATCAATAAAGTGTGACGAACCCTACTGCCTTTTGGCGTTGTGTCGATGTATGCACGCATGAGACACAAACATACGTGACATAGATATGAACCACTAGTTCACTTACTCCGGAGTAATCATTAACTCCGACGGTTATGTATATGCATATACGATATATCTACATATCGATATCATACATGTGAGAATACATGATACGGACAACCATGCCGAATATACTTAACTTGCTACAAATGAACTTACTCCGGAGTAATATTTTTACTCCAAAACGGAGTAATAGTTACTCCGGAGTAATATTTTACTCCAAAAATACTTACTCCGGAGTAATATTTTACTCCGGAGCAACACGTTTATATCGATAAATGTATATGTAGATGCACACACAGAGACACACACACGCGCGCGCGCCCACTCCGACGGTTAGGTATATGCATAATATACGATATATCTACACATCATACATGTGAGGATACACGATACGGACAGCCATGACAAATATACCTGCTACTTGCTACAAATAAACTTACTCCGGAGTAAAAATTTACTAAAAAACGGAGCAATAGTTACTCCGGAGTAATATAGTTACTCCGGAGTAATATCTTACTCCAAAATACTTACTCCGGAGTAATATTTTACTCCGGAGCAACACGTTTATATCGATATGTGTATATATAGACACATACATACACGTATGTGTGATGGGAACATATGTATACATGTGCATATATACAAAGCAAATGAGTCACTCATGAGTCACTTTCGCCGGATATCACATCCAATGGTTTCGTCCATATTCAATGATAACAATCGGGTCATGAAAGTGATCATAAAGCATTGACTCTTATGAATTAATAATCAATAAAACCGATAACCAAATACACCCCATAAAACCCTACAAACCCTTTCGCGGGATATCACACCCAATTTTTCCGTTCATCAAAATGGTTCCGTCCACCCCCAATTATGCATACATTACCGGCCAATCGATATATGTCAATCATATTTCTCAATACTGTTCTTAATTATGCACGCATCAGAATTATGAATACAATTAAACCGATTAATGACTCTCATTATTTAACTCATTAACTAAAATCCTTGCATAAATATGCATAAATCTTTCATGGAGCGTTGCCTGGACGACAGGTAACACAGGTAGCCGGGTTCAAACAAAAAATGTTATTCACCACTAGCTCACTTACTCCGGAGTAATCATATACTCCGACGGTTATGCATATGCATATTTATACACATCATGCATGTGAGGATACACGATACTGACAGTCATGACAAATATACGTACTTGCTACAAATACACTTACTCCGGAGTAAAAATTGTACTCCAAAACGGAGTAATAGTTACTCCGGAGTAATATCTTACTCCAAACATACTTACTCCGGAGTAATGTTTTACTCCGGAGCAACACGTTTATATCGATATATGTATACACACGCATACATACACATACATACACACACCAGTGAAGACTTGTGCTTCTGCTGCTGCTTCTTCTGCTGATACGCCATGGCTTTTTTTGTCTCGATCTTCACTCGCTGTCGACGGATTTGTACGAAAGCTTTGTCTCCGCAAGTGGCACTGGTTTCTCGCCGGTTTCTGTTGCCACTTTATACACTTTTCTGACAGACACCCACAGACCGTCCACCAATCGCCGTGAAGTACGTCACCTACTTCACATGCAGACCAATCGACTACTCCGGATCCTCAGAGCAAGTCACCAACGCTTGCCATGCGGCCAATCATCTCCTACAGAGGTTGACGTTAACCACGCCCACGACAGGTTACCCAGGTTACCGGGGTCAAAAGTGCACACTGACCTTTATCTGACCCGCAATTTAGCTCATTAGCTAAAATTTGCATACATTCGTCCACATTTGCATACATCTGCATATCCTTAGCATAATGACGGTGACCTCTGACCCGCACCGCCTCGCACCGCCTGCACCGCCTGAATAATAAGAATCAGCGTGCTGACTACATACTACTGGTGTGTGCCGGCCGTCTCAGGTCGGGCCCTGTCGGTGGTTCTTCCTGTCCTCGGGATGGAGGGGGCAGGCCGTCGGGCCCTGTTCGGAAGTGTGTAATGGTGTGTGCCGGACGCCACAGGTTGGTCCCCGCCGGTGGTTCTTCCTGATCTCGGGTTCTTGGGCACAGTTTCCTCGTCTGTCGGCAAAAGGTGAACGTCCTTGGATATAGATTATGCAAATCAGAGCTTGATTTGCATAATCAACAATAATACTTTATTTATATCTTTTGTGCTAAGATAGGACTATAAATCATGCAAATGAGGAGTTAATTTGTATATTCAATTAGAATGCACATAGAATGCCATTGGTCAATCTGTGACACATTTCACTTTTGTTAAGAGTAACTTCATACAAAAGGTATGTCGAATGGGGAATAGATGTAACAGTTAACAGGACTAAAATTAGCAAAGGCATAAAATTGTAGAACTGCGTCACATTATAACCATTATATAAGTTAATCAAAATCTAGACAAAGACACATTCTTTTTAGTGCTACCAAACACAATAAGGAATATCACACGTGACTTTTTAATTTCGAGATTACAAAGGCCACATGAAGCGAAGAATTGTTCAACATCCTCATCCAACTGCCCTTTACGCTTATTCTTCAACCTCACTGAAAGTTTGATTGACCCCACTTTCCTGCTTTGTAGACTCCCCACACTCCCCCACACATGATCTGTCCCTACCGTTTTGTGACGCTATTAATTTGCACTTTTCATATTCGATAAGAGACGAGTAAAAATATTCATGCAGGAAGTGGTTCAAAATCTGATAATCAATTTACACATTTGGACCACCTTTTTGCTATAAATCCAGTTCATTGTACAAATACTTCCCAGTCGGACATTTCCCCGAGCAAGATGACCTACGTGCCGCGGGCAGACAGGGAGTTTGTTCGGCATCTTGGGTAGTTATGCCCACCGATTGCGATTAAGCACTCCCCGGAGAAGTAGGCGTTTTTTAAAATCAATTATAGCCAGCCCAGCGCACATTGTTCCCCGACAAATCTGCATAACGAACTTACAGACTATATGTCGCAGGTATTATATGTATATCCAATGTATCACGGATTAATGAAATAGAATTCTATTTTTCTTAAAACCTAATTACAACTACTAATACTTCAACTATGCAGCGTAGGAAAAAACCTAAGCCAAAAATGTATAAATTGACCTAACTTTATAAAAGTACAAAACCATAGGCCTTTCCGTATTTTACTAAGCAGTAGATTTCATGTAGCAACGGTTGTCATACAAACATGGTAAGGATTTTAAGGCCAGGAAAATGGACATTCTCCCACAATGAGTAATTTCTCATAGTAATTTCTCGTCGTGTAACCTAACTTGCATAAATTTGCAAAGATCCCCAGAAATACGTCCCATCCAGTCCATCATTTCATGCTACCAAACTTGAGCTTATCTTTCGAGTTTCCCTTTAGAGACTATTACGAAAAGACATAGATTACAGTTAGATTATTCTTTATTCCGTGCAATAATTTTGTGACTAACCTGTTGATGCGTCATACACCGGATTTAAAGGTACGTGTTGGTGGTGTTGTTTCTGAAGATTGTCGTACCCGCTCTCCCTCCTTCCATCGCTCTGTCCGGGGCGATGAGGCCGACTAGCCGGAGACATCTTCGTGAACTTTACGGAGGGAAGAGGGACTCTCCCCGACTTGTTATTGTTGGCATATGGGGGAGACGACATGGCCGTTCCCCCATCTACGTTCCTGTCTACCATTAATATTTCTGCGGTACTTGACTGCGATTCGTCGACAGGTAGTGGCGGCAGGGGTTGGTTCTGTATCCCTGCCGGACGTGTAGACTTCCGCGGGGCAGCGGCACGTGTAGGTGCCCCGCCGGGGTTTGCCGGACCGTCTGACGGACTAGCCGCCATCTCGGGTCGCACCCGAACTGGTTCTGATCTCCACTGAGCTCTACTTCAAAACGTCGGTAACACTTTAATTGTCTGGATATTAGAGATGACAAGTCACATGTAACACCCGATCAAAGCAGCTCGGAATTTTCTAATCTAATGTTTGCTATGACCGCCTAATGTATATAAAACAGCTTCGAACCAAGTTTGTATTGTATTTCTCAGTGCGTAGAATAGTAATGTAGAGCGCAAGAGGGTTTCATTATATCACTTTACCGATGTTTTGTTTCAATCTCGGAGGTTTTTGGTATGACTTGACAAAACAAAGAACAACGTCAGATACAAGCCTCCTAGCGACTTTCCATGGTACCGCAGTCAGTTCTGAAAGGTCTCTTTCGGGGTGGAAGAATTAATGCTGTTAGCTCGCGCACTCAAGTGGATTTATTTTCTTTGTTGTGTCTTTAAAACTGGACACCGTTCAGATATAAGAGGTTTCATAGTTCTAGTTGGTCACTGTCATTGTTGGCGACTGGGGCGAGAATGAATATTATACACAAACCTGGAATAACACAATCTCATACCTCCGCCAAATAAGGTTAACACTGGCGGATGTTCACTTATGATGATTTTTTAATTACTTAAAAGTAATCATGAAAAGAAAAAAATCTCATTTTTAAGAAATATATCAGTTGGTTATATTCCCCACCTAATGATAGTCCTATCCTATGAAATAGGGCTTTGCTAGAGTTTTCTAGAAAGTATACATAACATGTCCTGATATGAGAAAGTTATGTTTAAAGATGTTCACCTTCTTTCAACATCCAAATACTACAAGTAGGAAAGTCCCGGCAAACAAATCAAATGCTACTGTGGAGATTACTTCCTGATTTTTCAAGCGACATTCGTCACTCTTCTTCAGCGTTATTATTAAATGGAACTGGGAGAACAAGTCGACATTTGGAATTAAAAATGGCGGCTAACTTAGCGCAAAGGACGACGGGAGATTGCTTCAACACCTGGTGTTTTTCCCTGGTTAGTC